TTTACCAATTCACACTTTTGAAGAGGAATAAATTGTGTAGACGAAATAACAAATCTAGAAGTGAATCGTTATTAAACAGAATATTAGAAAATATTCGGTAACTGTATAACTGGAATATGAGAAATGCTGAAAATTGAAATGGCTACTTTTACCCCTTTCTCTCTAAATACACTTTTTACAAGAAAAATGCACCGTTCATAATTGTTTTCAATGAAATTTAGACTTCCTTGTTCTCTTTCCATATATAACATCTCTTCAAAAATATTGTACACGAAAAAAAAAGCAGGAAACGAATTATTTTTTTCTTAAACAAAATAGTATTTACTTCGGTAATTTGCAACGTGACAATCCGATCCATTCAAAATGAGATAATTTTCGGTTTTCCATACCAAACTTCTTACTACAGCTACCATATTTATATGTCATTGCTATTTCAATACCTAAAAAATGAGAAAAAAAGATAACAATAACTAAATTTCAGTAATAATTATCAAAGTTTCGAGCGAATCGAATGATATCTCGTTATTTACATACCATGTGGATCACAATCCAATAAGCCAAATAATGGAAGATTGCTCAGCTTCTTTAACATAATTCGCGTTGCAATATCTGGATAACCTCTACCCTTAAAGACAAGAAAAAGTAACATCGAATAAGTAAAATACACACTTCCTCTTAATATCACCAACTAACCGTTACAAGAAGTACATTGGGGAAAAGTCTCAGAAATCCTTCGCCAATTAGTTTTTGAAATGTGGCATCCTTTTCGACCACTAATATGCATTGTGCGGTGGTAAAAAGATTTGTACAAGAAAAATCATCAATGACAGTAGCTTTGAGTGAACAATCCACTATTCCATTACTTCCACAAATTTTTAACTGGCCAATTACGAGCCCACGACCAGATGATAGCTGAAATTCAAAAATTATTGGAATCATCGAGTACATTCAACGTCTGAGCGTCTTTCAGTACTTTACATTTAAATGAAGCCAACTGTTACGACACTCTGGTTTATTCTGTGCTGATTTTTGATACTTCATCGCAATAATTTTCAGAAAAAAGGAAAAAACATTTAAACCAAGTTGTCAATATTCGTTTAAAATACATTTTCGGAAGACCAGTCCATGAAATTATAAATCTAGAATATTTAGTAACTAAAATCCAGGAAATGCTGGATATCAGCTACTTTTCACTTACTAAATATCCGGAAGTCGGGTCCATCCCAAGCCAGTGACAGATTCGGTTAATAGAGTTATTCAAATTTCGCTGCTCACCAAACAAATTTTTTTGCTCGTAAAAAAGATCGCTAGAAACAGAATGCATTTAAAAGTGTTTATGAAGTTTTATGTCCTAATTTCGAATGAAAAATTTGGCTATTTCGGACGTCGAAATATGATATATTGACAATGATCATATGATTCTGTTGATTAACCAATATCAAAAACAACTTGAGATATTTCAAATTTGATATCATTTGGCAAAATATTCAATAAACAATTACCGTTTCGTTTTATAAATCTTTAGCACTCGTAACTGATGTATCATTGAAACTGTTCGTATCATTTGCGCAATCCATCGGCGATTTTTTGTAGTTAACTTCAACTTATATCCTTTATCGTCAACCACACTATAGAAATCCTTTGATATCAAACGCTTGATAGCAATCATTTTAATATGAATGAAATATTGTTTCAGCTATTATCCCTCTTTATCCGATAATTTTAGAAGCCTTGTCTAGTAGGACACCTACCAAACACAAAGAAGTTTGAAAAAAAAGAAACCATGGATTGGATAATATAACGTATCCATTTGGATTTTTGCCGATGTCCATTAGTGATTTTAAAAATGCTAAGCAGCATTGTTCGATGTGATATGATACAGAATCAGAAGTACTTGTAACAGAATTTTCCCTCGAATCCAATGAAAACATTCCTGAAAATGATATCGTACGTAACAATTGCGACAAAAGTAAAAAAATTTGTTTTCGATTTTTTCAAAATTCATTTTCATTTATCTTCTCAAACTCGTAATAGGCACCATCTATAAAAACAATACGGTTATAAGTAGCATCACAATCAGTTTTTTTCCGATAATGAAAGCTGCATTATTGCAGTTAACAGTAATTGTGACTTGCCATTATAGCAGGTTTGTTTTTTAATTGAATTATAAAAAAATTGCATTTGAATAAATCGATATATGGAGAAGAGCAAAAAACCAGCACACATTATCCGAAAATTTAAAAATTACTAATTTTACCATTTAACCCTTCTCAACTTCCCCGCGAAACACACTTCGATTCTTGCAGCAAACTAAGATGTTGACAGTCTAATCAACAGAGATTGAAAAACCATGGTTTGATGCGTACCGTAAAACTCGTCGGAAAAGAAAAATCATGAATGGTTGGTTTTTCTCTAGTACGATAAATTTTTTGAAAGTAGGGTAATCCCTCTCATTAAACTATCAGAAATTTTTTCCGAAACTCAAGACTATCTTAACATCACAGATATTCAAACATGCTCAGTATTGATGTGTCCATCACCATCATCATTTGACTACATGCCAATTTTTTGCAAGCAACAAATACCCCCTCTGTATTTAATTGAATCGAAACAATCTTGCACGAAATCCCGCCGCAGCATTCAATTGCCAACTTTAAATTTCGAAATGCGACATTAAAATCTTCCAAATCCTCTAACACAATGAATGATATCACTGGGATGCAACTGACACGCCAAAAGCATGCTATTCTTGCCTTCTCATACATCCATCACCCATTTCATTCTTACGTCAAAGCCAAGGATATAAGTCTGTATTTATAAGATGTTACTAGAAGATCTTCGATCAACAAATCCCATTAGCAATGCATTTTTGTTCCGAAGACACTTAAATATAAAACGTTGCATACCTTCACTCTCTTTCCTCTCATTGCTTCCTTTAATCAAGGTAGGGCTGCTAAATCAAAGTAACAAAGTCAGAGTAACAAACTTCTGTTCGTCAAAAGAACAAGATAACATTAAAAGCAGTGAGTAACTGAACATATTGGAAACGTAAAATAATATAAACAAAAATATAAGAACACAACGACACATCTTTTCTAGGATGAGAACAAATTTTTTATCGTGATTTGCCGCCTTATGGCACTTGATGATCCCGAGTTGTAACAAAACGTAATTCCTGTCCCAAACTTCACAGGTTTATTCAACTTTTTCTTCATATTCTCTGCTAAATCATCAACGGTTCCGTTAGGCAAAGAATCGACATTTCGCAATTTTTGCAGTTCAATCTAAATAGCGAAAACACTGATGGAACAATCAAAGACAATGATGTTAAGCATATCTGATATAATGATTGTAGAATGGAAAAGATATAGTTCCGACACTGCTTGACCATCCGTATTTGCACATAACAATTGGCATACTCAGCAAAACATTAGTGAAATTCAAACCTCATGTGCTATTAGTTGTCTAGCAACATTGGACAGTGTATTCGAGGACCGATTATTGTGGTATGCATTGTCATCGGTAAACATAACCAGCTGATCGATTGCACTGAAACACAAAAAAGGATATCATCTGACTCCGTGGAATGTATTGAATAAAAATTTACTGCAACTTACGGCTTAAAAACAAAATTGACGGATCCATCCTGCGAAACAGAGGTGAATGTAAGAGAATATGTACGCATGATGCTAACAATTGAATGCAGAAGGTTAAGTTCTCGAACACTATATAGCTGGGTGTTCATCTAGAACAAGTCAGTCATAAAGTTATCTATGTTATAAGCAAGAGTAAATATCTGCCACTTCCACTGACATTGTAAACATCAACCAATTAAAAAAAGAATCTTTTGGTAAAAATTTCGAAAAATCTGGGAAGGTGAAAAAACTTCAACCGGTTTAAAATCCGGTTGCACAATATTGATGAGATACGGCAAAATTTCGAGTGCAACTGTTGACAGAGAAAGATTTTTCAGCATTGCTCCAGCCCGGACACTTTCTACTATTTCAACAGATTGCTCACAACGCTGCACTGAATTCTGAAATATACTTCAGTTTAAAAAATAACAGTCTAAATTCTTCTGTGTGTCATAATTACAAAGAAAGGCTAAAGAAAGCCAAACGAAATCGTCACAAAAAGAACGAATTACGTGATATTCTGTTGGGAAGCTCAGCTGTGTTCGACCTCTACAGCACAAAAGCATATGTATGCTGACGCATACAGCGGACAAATATTTCAGCAAATTATAATCCTGCACACTATTCATGGATGTAACTATTCGATCATAATAACATAATTCACGGATCGCCATCGAAGCCTGAGCAGGAAAATTTAAAATTAATTATTATGCAAAAAGTGGAAATCGTGCAATAAGATTTCCATAGTCCGCTTTCAAACTCACAAATATTGTTACCACTTATCTTCAGCCACGAGGTAAAAAAAATGCCATTCATAAGAGCACACGATCAATCTGTACAGCATACTTTCGATCAATATACCGAATGCGTTGACGATGCCATCGATGATGTTATATCTTGAAATCTTGACCTCATTTCACCAGTAATCGGCGACGAATTTTTAAGTTGTTAAAAGTTGTCATGAATTACCTGGTTACGATTTGGCACTACACTTATTATCACTCTACAACATGATAAGTGTCTAAGTTAAAAAACGGTGCTAATTTCATAAGTGAAAAAGTTCATGAAATATTTTACATTTGTCAGCACAGTGGAATTTTTGCTTCTCAAATAGTTGGTAAAAAGTCCCATATAAAAGCGATCGCTTTCGTTTGCGTGTAGCTCTGTAATAAGTGAAATTTGCTTGACACGTGAAGCAACATCTCGAATGTGACCATTTGCATCCAAATGTCGAGAAATTTCGAAAACTGAAGCCCATGAATCGAACAATGACTTGTCACCAAACTGTTTCTCACGTTCGCAAAACTAGAAGTACCTTCATTTCATTTCAAAGAAAGTGGTTGCCATTAAAGAAAATCAAATACTATTACTCTTGTTCTGGTTTGAGATACGCCATGTACTATCAAAAGCAAAAACAGACAGGAATATGTACCTTAAGAACAGCTTTTCGATCAATTGTAGCATAATTTTTAGACGCGATAAACTGTAAGCTGTTGATTGCGGAACGGAGATCCCATGAGCATAAATGAATAATTTCCGTCAGTGCGCTTGATTCAACCTCCAGATGCTCTAATTTCGATATCTAAAGAGTCTACGATTTTGTTAGACATATCAGTAATGTGAACGCATTCACTAAGTTTCATTCAAGAATCAATAAAAAGTAAGTTTCATACCATCTTTCTAAATTCCTTGGTTTCCATTAATTTAATTCTTTTCAGATTTTTCAGTTGTTCCAACCATGTTAAACTTTAAATATGATTCACCGTTGTAAATATAAAAACAAAAATTTAAGTCTCCTAAAATTTATTATATACAGTCTAACGCAAAATGGAGCTTGGACACCTCAAAGACATTACTTACTAAATTTTATAAAACCTCTGACCAGCGAAAATCAGTTCGCTATAACTAGAAAAGCATGAGGCAAAAGATGTCATGTGATTATGAGAATACACAGAAGATGTGTATCTCTACTAAAGAAAACAATTTTGTTCACACAATCATCAATACGAGAGTAAATTTATTCAATAAATAAGAGCGAACAAAAATGAGTGCCTCATGGAGTCTTTTGATTAAACGCTTTTCATCAGTTCTTGACAATTGCAACACTAGACCAACTGATCGCAATTCACGCAGAGAGGGATTATACCTGTAATGAAAATCCCAACAGTTTCTATACCGAAAAATGTTAGAGCAATATCAATTCTCATTCAGATCATCAAAACAAACATGGTTCTTATATGGAAATATGCACTAACAGATTGTTGCATATGCATATTACTGGTCGTCGAAGCGAATGTCTTCCAGTTGCAGTTATAGCTTTACACAAATAATGAATTGACTGTGTTGGTGCGCCATCTATTTCATCCAAAATAAGACAATTTGGTTTGGAATTCTACAAAGAAAAAAAACTTTTCAACAAATAAATCATATACCAAACATTTCAAAAAAAAGATGAATTTTTTAAAAGGAAACTTTTCCTTACAGCATCCAAAGTCCTTGTAGTTCGTAAAGTATCTTCAAAGCATTTTTCGAAATCCGCAGTATTTCGCTCATCGCTGAAATGATGCATGGGAAATACAAAAATAGAGTATACATGTTATCGTTAGCACTTTCCATCAAACTACATGCTGTAGTGTAGCGAAAAAATGCTAGTAATAAAATCATACCAAACCGTATCGAATAATTCAAACACCAAAACTGTAGGATTACAAGACTTTCGGAAACCTGCTAATTCAGCAGGGGAAGGGAAATTACTATGTAACAACAATGTTACTAAAATTAAGTGAATTTACCTAGCATTCAAACTGACTACTCGATATCCAGCATGTTGCGCCACCAAAGTTGCTAATGTAGTTTTACCAGTACCAGCAGGTCCAGCCAGGAGCACTACCTAAATATATTTTTTCGTCTTTCTGCTGGGGATGAAAAATTGGTATATCGTGTTTTCGATTTAAAAAAATTGTACTTTATATGATGGACGCCTTGGTTTTTCATTGTTCAAAAGAAGTTGTTGATTTGAAGCACCTCTCAGGACGACATCCGGGACAGCTCTATGAAAGACACACTCGTCCCACAATCTTAACCAATTTAACAACAAACGATTCACAGTCTGAAATTGATTTGTTCTCAGAGAATACATTGAAATATGTATCAACATAATCCGCTAGAAGTTTTATAAGATCTTGATGTAAACAGGATTAACCACATCAAAGAAAAATAGACGTACCTCGTCACTAATAAGATCAGTATAAGTACGCGGCGCATATTTCTCAACCCACAACTTATCGTGAGTAAACGAAGATTCTTCTTCCAAACCTTCGGGAATAACATCAGGAACCTCAACATCAATTCCAGAATTTAATACTTTTTCGGTGAAACCAAACTTCAAAGCATCACTTCGTAGTTTATCAATGCTATCATTATCAACCGGTTGTTTAACATCCCTTAGCAGTATGTAAAATCTGCAAAGAGAACTATCATAAGGTGCTATTTAAACAGAAGAAATTATTCTTCCTGAATCAGGGTTCAGGAAGAATAACGTTTAATAGTTTCTCGAAAAATTATCGAGAATACTCTCAAAAATCTCCATCCACAACAAACAGAGATGTTCATTTCATCAACTGTCTCAACCTTTGGAGGACTGTCGGAGCTGTAAAACCGATCCACGGCGTACCATCAGTCGGTGGGTATAGCAATATTTCGCTTTTTTTCGGCTTTGTTGATATATTTTGTTCAGTCTCTTCTGCATCTTTTTGTAAGTCTATTAAACGACGCCTTTTCCGAGCCTATAAACAACCACAGTAACTTATGTATGATAACTTGAAAATGTGATTACTTGAAAAAATAACATATCACATGCCGACACATATACCATCATCCCAAAGGAATTAATCGTGAAATGTTCTACTAACTAACCCATGAAATGCGTCGTGTAAGGCGTTCAACCATTTCATCGCCAAGAATTTCTCGTCTCATATCGCGTTCTGTTTCATAACTATTGCAGTTTACTCGCATATGCCAATCTGTCAATATTCACAAGTCCTCAATAAGATTTTATCCCAAAAAGTTAGAGATATTCGTTAAATTCAATTTCAAGTCTCTTTAGAATGATCATTGCCTCTAAAATTTCCCGACCAACTATTCTGCTGTTTCACCTAATAAGACGATAACATATTAAGAACACAATTGAGGAAGAAAACCAGAACACTGATCGTTAGAGATTTGATTTAATTTATAAACTGTAAACTTAAATTGTGCTCATATCGGTTCATTTTTGAAATGCAAGCAAGAAAGAAATCAGTTACATACCAAGTGCTTCATAATTATCAGGTATCAATATCCGTTTTGGCGGTCTCCTTACGACGTCGTTCAAAACATTTACTCTCAAATTATTTTGTACATTTGCCTGTCTGCAAAAAAAAAACTTCAGCATGATTAGGAAAAGTTTTGTAAATATGAATAAGAAATCATTACATTACATGGAGGCAAAACCAAATCAAAATACAAAACCAACCCATAATTTAAAGCGTTGTCCGCAAAATTCGCCTCAATTTCATTATAAATATCTGGATCCATCAGTTCGTTCTCCAAATCAAATCAAGTAAATAAGGAAAACACCGCTCAATTTTTATGATTTAGACAAGCAACCCAAAACTATTTACACAATTAACTCGATCTATTACGCGTCCTCTCCAGACGCAACATTCACCCGACATGTATTTCCCAAATAGGCCAAAATATCACCAATTTTTGTTACATTTCTGAGTAAAACCAATAAATGGAAAACAACAAACCCACCTACATAAAACGAAATGAGCAATTACTGGGATACTCCCCGTAAACTAAGTAACCAATGAAGTAAATCTCTATTTCAATGAAATATGTGCAGAAACACTTCGTGAGAGAAATGCAGTTGAACATTTCCGAAAGTTCTGTAACTCTGCATGATTTTCATGCTAGACTAACTTGAAGAAAA